TCCTGAAAGAGCGATATTTTTAGGTATCGGTCCCAATAACTCAATAATATGTGCTAAATGGTCCTCATCCCGAGTATAATCTTCACCAGAATGAGGTTCAAAAAGATAATCACCGGTAGCTAATTCAAAGGCCTGAAGGAGAAAAAAAACAAGCGTTGGTAAGTATAATTTTAGACTAAATATTAGAGTGTGTTCAAGTTGAATCACACATTAACAATGAAGGAAGGTATAATTTAATCACGGGAACTTAGTAATTATATAATAATTATATAAAATAAGGAATGAAAGGGATAAACATCACGTGAGTCGATAAACTGCTAGGTGAATAACGATTAGTATTTGAAAGAATGAATCAATTCGGGCAATACTGTAAGAAATGAAGGCGTATATATTACACTAAATAGGAAGAAACGTATTACTAGTGATCAAATACTCTGAATATTGGTCATGATCATTGATGGTAGCTTGAGCAACATCAACAGGATGCTTAAATTACACAAATAAGAGACACTGAGTGACTGGTTTCAACATAGAACTTTACACAGAAGTGCAGCAGTTCTAGTTGCCACACTCCATGTAGCACAGAAAAGAAGACAAAAGAGAAAAAACAAGAAATTTTTACAAAAAAGATAATAAGCAGCAATGTGCCGGAGAAAGAATAGTAATATGTACATAGGATAAGGTTTAGTGGATACGGCAGATCAGAAAGAGTGCATGCATCTACGCTACCGACAACGATTTCGAGCCATATGACCAGTTGTCTCTAACCATTGGTCCTTAGCATCCCTACTCCTATGTGTGTGGCTCAGAATAACTGTCTAATAATTCACGGATTGACGTCAAGTTTTGGTCTGACCACCACTAGATCTTTTCTAACCTGATCCGTCCTATGTCAGCTAGCAGTGACCGTCGAGGAAGGCGATGGCCAGACATGAGTAACACATGTCTTCGCCATCTCTATCAATGTAGCCTCACAACTTCATAGATTGAATTACCCTCGTTACCTAACACTCTACGCCTAATCTCAATATTACTCACCTTATCACACCATCTAACACGGGAGGTAGGACGCAGACACTTATGATTAAAACCAGACTTCTCAAGTCTTTCACTATCAATGACAATGTCTCACAGCCATAAAGGCGAACGGAGTCAACTGCTACGCAGCATACCTCCTTTGATCGATAACCAGCCGGAAATCACGTCTATGCCACAGATGGCGTAGGTTGGCAAATCCCGCATGAGCCTTGTGTATCCATGATGAAATTTCGTCAGCGATCAACCCGCTGACACTGGCTGATGCAACCTCCTAAATAAGTGAAGTGGTCAACATGCCCAGGCACTTCCCTTCCTAGCTTTAGGCTAGGAATCGAAAAGGCCCAGTCCTGTGGCATCACCTTTCATCTGAACAGAGCAAATTGCATGCCAAACATTCGAGGATTCCTGCTCAAGATGTCCAGATGACTTTGCATTTTATCAGAGTCTTCACAATAGACGACTGTGTCATCCGCATATTCTACGTGAACAAGACTATATACCCTGGTGGTAGGTCAATCCCTAAGTCGCTGAAGTCAGCTAGGGTCATTTCCTTTATTACATCTATGAAGAAATTAAACAAAATGGGGATAACGGATATGCCTGACGGACACCACTGGTTGTGATCACTTCAGATCGCAACTCCCAGTAAACTCTTACACGGCTGCCTGAGTTCAACTAGAGTGCCTTGATTAGTGTGATGTACTTTCTAGGTACTCCCTTTACGACTAAATATTGTCATAGAACTTCTCAGTTGACGGACTTGAATGCCACCTTCGAGTCAAGAAATACGGCAATTGTTGGACGCCGGTGGTAAATGTGCTTATGTTTCAGAATCTGTCAAAGAGTGAAGATATGATCAATACCCTCCCGCACTACCTGGTTTTCTCGTGTTTGTTTCTCTTGGGCACCACTTAATCTATGCATGAATTACTGAGTCTAGAACACTAGATACCACACATTAGTTAAAATAATCCCTGTATGATAAATATGAGGTGACACATAGATGAACAAAACTTAAAACAGTCGCAGACAGCTTAACTCAGATCAAATCACGCTATGGATGAGAAATCTGTCGTATATTTTATTAGATACATATTCAAGCACTTTATGTTTCACTGATTTATGCCTAAGAAATGAATCGATATATTTTGAACACATAACAAGAAATAAAACGCTATAATACAAAGAATTTTTGTTTAAAAACAAAGTAGCCTATGCTAATGTATTCGATGTAAAAAAAAACAACCGACATACCATGCACGCAGTACTCCAAATATCTGCAGGTGGTCCATATCCAGAACCAATGAGAACTTCTAAGGCGCGATACTGTCTAGTTTGAATATCTTCAGTGAAATGCCGATAAGTCCAACATGCATTCCCCAAATCGGCAATTTTCACTTCAATATCACACGGCTGAGTAATAAATTAAGGGAAAAAACATCAATAGTCCAAGGTACAATGGTTATACATACATATAGAAATCAGATATGCTGAAGTCAAAGCGTGATACGTCAAACAGTTAAAACAAGGCGATTACGTAAGTAGAACTTTGGCTTATTCAAGATAATTAAACAACCACGTAAAAGTTACCGAACCTATTAGGACGAATTAAATGTAAATCATCGTCATCATGTCCTTACGCTTTTGCCAATGTTTTGTTCTGTTTTGATTGTAAGCTAGTGAGGCATAGTGTGCACGTGATATGTATGGGCAACATGCCCCAATTAATAGTGCATAACTGCAGTGATGCTACTACTGCCCACCCATACTGAAGTTGATGGAGAGTGTAGCAACCTAAAGTGATGCCATTTCCGTGTTAGGTAAATCAGTCTGTTAATGACCGAATTTATGGTTCTCGGTATATGTAAATCTTGCAAGCAGTGGTCTTCACATAACACCATTCACGTATAACTGTTTCAACGTGATTAGGGAAAGTACTACAAGTACAGTCAAAAAGCAACGTAGATATGAAATGCAAGCTTTACAAATCACGCGTGTACTGATATAGCTGTGGTCTTTTGACTACCACCAGTCAGTGAATTATGATATCCATCTTCCACCTTTTCCACTGGATAGTATCAATGACCTTTAGACTGTTTGTTTCATAGCTTAGAATATGGAAACTCTATGCCAAATATTGGAATTCAAATGCATCCTCTGTAACAAATATTGGCCATTATAAATATGGACACTTTACCCACTTGTCAAATGATCTTAAAGTCTCAAAGATATTCATCAAAAGGCAAAATAAAACTGGTACAACATGGGGTAATGTGGTGAGAGCTGACTGCGAACAAGCCAAAATTGTAGACACCAATTTACGTCAATGTTTACGTCCCAAATCGGGGTCACGAGATAAAACAATAACATAGCCTAACCTTGAAGAACTCAAGGTGTGCAAATACGATCCGCAGAAATATGGTGTGACCATCAAAGAAACGGCCACAAAGAGATGACAGAATAACTTTCAGCGAGAAAGCGACCAGTCAGAAGACGCTGTTTCTATGCTAATAATAACGAATAGTAATGTACATAAAAATATATAAACATCTCTTGATTTTCTGAATAGACGATCTGTTGCCTGGTCCTTGTCTTCTGTCGTTACAGTAACTCAACACATGAAACGACATGTGAATATGAAAAAGACTGATGCATAGTATAGTGGCTAGCCGAAACGAAAACACATTAATAGAGTTAATCCTCACTAAACTGACTGAGAGTTCAACTAGAGTACTCGTAACAAACTTTTAAAGTGAACAGCAAATCAGGTGTGAGGACAAATATTCACCAGCCATGACACTGGCTAATAGTCGCGTTATATCGTGAATTGGCAGAAGTTGGAATTCATAGGCCTTTGGATCGCGTCCCAGTGGTTTGATGGTCTACGAGCTCACTTTGTAACCGGACGGTCCCGGGTTCGAACCCTGGCGGTGGTTGTGCACTAATGAGGAGTCCCACATTAGGACGAAACAGCCGTCTAGTACTCTCAGGTCTTCAAATGGTTCTCTACCTTATGTCAGTTGATGGTAAAATCCTGTAACCAATCAAAATCCCCGCAAACTGACACACTTAGCTAAAAAATGACTAAATGTCATCATGAGATTGAAGTAACTAACTTTATAATTGAGCGCCGAGTGTCAAATTATTCTGGGATAACCCAAATGAATTTTAGAATTATCCTAAACCCTCTAACCTCACTGTCAGAGAAAAACAATTAATTCAACTTAACAACTAACTATGATCTTGATGCCTTTCAAAACCCTAGATACACATATATTTACACGCTTATAAATAAGTTACCATTTCAGACAGGTCTACGAAATGATAAAAATTATAATTAATGAGAAGTATTAATCATCAGGATGGAGGTAAATTTCCTTAGTATTCTACATATCTCAAAATCTTTTGTGGTATTTATTTCAATTAGCATGAATACTAGCGCATTCATTGGCGGTAGTTATACCGTAGCTGATGAAAACTCACTATTGGCGTTGAGCAATTGCAAGCAAAAGACAAAGAGTTCAACTTACTTCTTTACTTGCATCGGGTTCATGGACTACAGTTTCAAGTAGCAATGATCGACGTTTATAAGAAGCGCTTTGACCAGAAACTGAAGTATTAGGCGGTACAACTAGACTTAGGCGTTTAGAGTTACCACCTCCTCCTCCTCCGCCTCCACTAGAAGTGTTTGTTGTTAATTTAGACTCAACAACACTAGGTTTCTTTTCATTCATTTCACCACTACCACCATTTGACGACTTTGGTCCAGTGGAATTGGATTTAACTTGAGTTGAATCGTTATTAGTTGTGGATGTAGTAGTAGTAGTAGTAGTACCAGATATAACAGATGCTGAAGCCGCTGCTGCTATAAGGCCGTCTGGTTGTACAATCATAGAATTTTTATCACCAGTAACAGATGAGGCTTTTTGTGGTTCAGTGACAGAGGCTAATGGAGAATCTGCCTTGTCATCTGCAGCACCAGAATGATCTGGAAGCTTTTTAACCCGACGACGTACAGCCTGTCCACTTCCATTTTCATTATCTTTATTTACAAACTATGTTGGAAATAAAGTAAAATTAAGAGTAAATGCAAAAAGTGATGAAAGAAAAAGAAGGATATAAAGCAAGATAGGTCAGAAAAAAAAGACTTTTGTCAACTGCACTGTATCTCACGATCTTCTATGTGCTCTTTGGGGCTCCATCACCACACAAGTGTTTTTTCCACGTTTTCTCTCTAGTTCAACTCTAAATACCAAAAGAAGCAATCTCTAGTAGTACGATTATTCCACTTCTTTTTTACTATGAAATTCTTAGTGTCACTGACAGCATTATATCCTACTCCTTGTTGTCTCCTCTTTACACCTTCCAGTTATTTGCATCCCATTATTACTAGTGAAATACAATGTGTGTTGTGTTTTGATCAACAAGTTACAGTCGATGTAAGACAAAGGACTTCAAAATTGTGGTGAATATGTTTTTCTGATAAAAAAAAACTATTCACTGGATCAATATGCACCCTACAAAATAAAGTAGTTTAGTCAGAAATTACAACTTGACATCCAGTCCAGTTAGATGACACATCCCACCGTCTGCCTGCCTGCCTAACTGGAATAAGTCGCTTCAAGGGTAGATGAATTTACATCTTCGAGTTATGCACTTAAAAGTGCTAAGGTGATTACTGAATTGTCATGTCATCATAAAAGTGTACTGTGATATATCTCAACCCCTACCTACATTCTCATATACCAACTCTGAATGAAGTATCGCGAAGACGAAAGGTCTCTGAAATAAACTTTAAATTTTAACAAGTAATAAAAGAATATTTCGATTAAAAAGAGGGTAGTTGGATGATTTGAAAATGGAAGATGTAAAAATTTACTCCAAGGAAGCTACACTCCTTCAGTGGGCAGGCAAGAATTCATTTCAGTGTACCTAGAATATGAGTCGAGTAGTTTCTGTTATAATGATCATCAGTTGTAAAACAAAAAGGAAGTAATAATTAACTGATTAAAAATGCCCATTAAAATTTTCAAAAGAATGAACACTGAACAAAGAGTACTCTTTTCGATAAATTCATCATCAGGCTCTACAGTTATATATACACATTATAGTGAATGAATGAATTAGTGTTATGAACAACTTAATGTTGTTTAAATAACATCGAATCAATAATATTTGATAGATTACAGCTGAACAGCATCAACATAAAATAAGCTGAATGTCAGAAAAATTAGGAAAGATAATATTACAAATTCATGAATTTATAGTCTCTACTGAAGACCGCCCAGGATAGCAGTAGGGGCCGGACTTGTTTCTTTTGAACACAGAGCACTGGTTGTTTGAGGCGAATTGCAATAGCCTCTGCTGTTTGGAGCATGCGGTGCTTCGACGATTTTGGTAATTTGTTAGGCACCCGGTATATTATAGAGAAGGATTCTTCTACGCTGGCTTTGTGACCGGTTTGCACCAGATGGTCTAATATCGAGCTGTTAATAGTTTTAACTACACCTTTACTTAGCCATAGTGGGATATGTTCTCGAGCACGAAAAATCAAGTTCCTAGTTAACAGAACTACTAAAAAGAATGGCGGTGACTAGCTCAACTGTTGGAAGAATGATTGTCAGTTGAAGATAGTATGAGAACTGCCTGCTAAATTAACTTTAGAGTTACTTTCTAGTAGAATAATACACCGAACCAAATCGGTAACTTCATACACTCAACAATTTGCATCAGTCGTGGACTACTCAGAGTCAAGAATAAACGAAAAGGATTTCTGTTCTTTACGACTTTACATTCTGCTTAATACATTACCTATTAAAAGACACAATCACAAAGCACAGTAGGGTAACACAATCAGTTAAAAGTAATTCAAGTGGTGACACTGTGCACACGCATTACAAACGTCAATTAGAAAACGAAAACAAGATTTCTCTTGCTATCTTTTTATCCGGTAGGAAGTATAAGCAAAAACTTACTTGATCGCTTTCTTCGGATGCGTCAGCTGCATCTGATCGATGACTGGCCGCTTTATTATGTTCATGTTTATGATTATCGTTTGGTTCATCTGAATTATTTTGACACGATTTCTTTGTAGAAGCATTTGGTGAACCTGAAATGAAGGAAAATTATATTTGAAGAGAGATTACAATACAATCATATGATACACTCATACCTAAAATGAAAGATGAATTAGGTTATCATAATAGCAATAATAATCTTTTAAGTATTGTATAGATATAGTCGGTGCGTCGGTGGCATAGCGGTTAAGACGCTCACCGGCCATGCACATGGTCCGGGGTTCGATCCCCGGCCGGCGCACTCCTTTACCTCGCTAAGCCAGAAATAATGCTGGTGAAGAGGAAAGGTTGGGCATGAGGCTAGCAACCCCATCCTGTAAAATAAACACTGCTACAGAAACTTCAAGTCACTAGCTTGAAGCCCTATGTTCCACTGGGGAACGTGAAGGAAAAAAATAGATATAGTTGGCATAATGGGCAAATAAATGTCCAGTAAACGTTATGGTAACTCTTTATGTAGTGGAGTGGAGGAAAATTAACTTGGGCAAGGGAAAATTACCATCCAAATAAGAATGAATATTTAATTTTCATTGATTATCACACACCAGTAACACCTTACCACCCACAGAACTTGGGAACAAATACAGTCACCTTAAATCTTCGCTATCTCAACTATGCGCCCTACATCTAAAAAGAAAGATATAAGGGTCAACAGTTTACTAGCTGAGCTGAGTTCACCATATACTGGTGTTTATAAGAATCACTTAATCGTGAAAAAATGAATTTTTGTCTCACTAGTGACTCAACAGTTCCTTAAATATCTTTGTAAGATCAACGTTGTTTGTGAAAAGAGCACAGAAAGGTGCGCATATTATGAGAAGGCAAATTATACAGTCGTGGGAGTTTTACTTCTTATCAGGCAAAAATATGACTAAGATTTCAAAATTTGGAAGAAGTAAGCTTCAGATAACCTTCAAAATAATCAAATATTAAACAAAAAGTTTGATTGCAATCGCAAAGAACCAGAATATGCCAAAGGTGATAAGACACCAACCTTATCTCACACCGCATCTGCTAGTGATTCCAACGGTATAAAACTTTGTGAATAGAATGTTTAAAAGTAACAACAGTGAAGTTTAAGGCGTAAGAAACTCAAGACGGGTTAATAGTACAGGTACACTCCATTGTTTATCTTAGATTACCTAAGATTAATTTAAATTTCTTTTTACGGTGCTATTCGATAGGTGTTAGCTGGCGTAGAGGAATCTGTGATGCGTGTTTTTTTGTGTTACGGACTAATCAGTTAGATACAACTCTACATCTTAGTGAGTAATGATGTCTTCCTATTGTGACGCTAGAACCCGGGATTGGAAATAGAATAATATGACATTATTATTAAAATGTCTGGATTATACCTAATTCAATAAACTCATTTTATTAAACTCAGAGAGTAGAGATGTTTCAATTTGTTACAGCATACATTGTTTGAATTTAATATTATAATTTGGTAGTTTTTTTTTATTTTCTCGATACTTATTGTTAGAATTTAATTTCATTCAAAAGGTGACATTGTTCATTCGTTTTACCTATGAATATATTTTCAGTTACGCTTCGATTGAAGAATTTAACAACAACAATTAGTTCTTTCCATAGCAGTGAGTTATTAAATGAACTTTAACATTATATTCTATTGAGAAATATTCTGTAGGTGTATTATAAACTGGGCAACTTCCGCGAATCTTGTTCAGATTTGATAAACATCCTCAACTTTTCCACATTACATAAGTGTTATTTGACATAACACACAGTGATACAGTGGTAATAACCGGATTATGCTACAAGCTTCAGTTATTGCTAATAATCACGTGACTGTGTGCATAGACGACGAGTTCATGGATTTGAAATATATAAGCTACTGAACTTCAACTACAGATATTACCTGGGTAATTTTATTGTACAACAAAACTAACTGACGCTGAACTAATCACTACTAATCACAGGAAGCAACTAGATGCAGTGATGTATATTTGTAATAAAACACTCACTGAAGATAGATGGCCAGGATAACTTCCGAACTAGTTGACCAGCCAAAGGAGCAAAAGGAAAGTGGATAAATGAGCGACGTGATGATCTGCAAACTGTTGCATCAGTCACTTCTGGATAGTCAGATGAAGAGAAGTCAACAGATATGGAGGCTGTACGCTTCTGTCCAGGTTGGAGTAGTTTACTTGAAGAGGAAGCAGAATTAAGGATCTTAAAACTGACATCTTCACTGACATCTGCGCAAATTGAAGCACCGGACTGACCGCCTAACCGAGGAAGATTCTGTTTTTCATTTCGCATCGATGTTACTTTAGGAATATTACTGGTAGAATGCTTTTTGTCCGGAACGGTGTTGCAAGCCTTGAAAGGAATGGAGGCTGCGAAACCTAACACCGAGGCAACAGCACGCGCAGTATCCATAAACACTGCACCAACTACCAGAACAGGCGAAAACAAAGAAAGAAAAAGTTTATTTTTCCACCGATGAGAAAAAGCGATCGGTAGAGAAATCTTTCGGAAAAACAATAAACGAAGTGCCCTAGGCATTTTGACGCATTCACCCTATAACAGTACTAATTCCACTGTTTCAACAGAGTTATACACTAACTGAATTTCTTTGATTTTGGGGGGAGTTATGTGTGAATTAAATCATAGATCAGATTTATTCTATGCATGCATTAGTTAGTTATCGCGCAATTTGCCGTCTTGTTTACACAAACTCGGCAAAGTTAAACTTTAAGCACCACTAACTACCAATCAGTGCACGACCTTGAATGCACCAATTACATGAAGGAGGCATTTTTGGTTATGGGATATACATATTTATGGGGAAAAAAATACATAAAAACTGTTTAAAAGTGTTACAGAGGATTCCTTTCCCCCACATGTGATAAAAACATCTCCCAGTTAACACAAGAGTATCAACTGGAAAGTTACACCACATCCTATGCATATATTCATCTAAATGACTACAAATAACATCCTTTTGAGACCCATTATTGGCCCTAATCCTGTTTTTAACCTTTCCCAAAAGCCTCCAATAGAATTGGTGTGTCACTGTAGTGGGTTACACAAAATCATTAGAATGGTTGATTCTGTGGTGAATACATTCAAGGGATGACAGGGAGTTATTACCTTTACAATCATTGGTGTGTATTATAGATCCCTGTTTCACAAGTCAAGTGATATTAGATATTAAGGCAGTTACTTTTCTCTCTGGCATCCTATTCGACGAATCCTTTCGGTAGAGAGGTGGCATATAAGCCAAACACCCAAAGATTATTTGCTTGTTCACGATCACGGTGGTATTTTTTTCTTTAATAAGACAGTTTCATCCACATGTACGATGACACCTTCTCCTCCCAATAACGAAGTAAATCTCCATTTTCCATGACGCGATATCCCTGCAGAGCTGGTACCAATGAACTCATTGGACCATTCAAGGTCATTCTCTGATTGGTAGTTAGTGGTGCTTAAAGTTTAACTTGGTGACAAACTCTTCTCTAGTTACACAAAGTTAGTATGCACTTAAGCCTTATATGATTATTATATTCAGGAAATTTGAATCTAGACCAGACATCATAAGTTATAGAACCGGATTTTTAATTTTATTCAGTAAGAATACCCGTAGGGTGGCTTTGTAGAGTAATTTATTCTGATTCAAGTCAAGTAGTCTTATTAAGTAGTCACGTTTTGATTTATGACAGACAGGGTTTATACTTTGCAGGATAATACGAGCTCGTTCCATTTCGTGGATTCTCTTCAACTGCGTACATCCTAGACAAAATCAACTATGCTATAAGCTACAAAATTTCTGACCATACTTTTTTCCCAGTGACTTCGAGTTATAGATAGAAAGTATTAGCAACATCATTTCAAAGATGATGTAAGTAGACAATTATTTAGCGCTAAAAGAGTGACTATATAGTAATTAGACAAAAGGGTGGAGTTAAGATGTCTCTTGGAAACAAGGATGGACTAGAGACAAAATACGAGATAGAACAACAGAGGGGAATTTATACATATTATGGTGGAGACTTCAGGAGGGTGGGGATGAACAGTGAAGTAAAATTATAAAATAGATAAAATAATTTAATTTAGTAGATTTGAAACCCGCAAATATGTTCGTTCTTGAAACGACGTCTCGCTGGGAAACCAATCACATCACTGAATCAACTAGTGACGTTACGTTGAAGAGCAGTGTGGTAAATTTCGAGAATTAAGTTCTATAAGGAGTGTTTCGAAACAGGTTATTATCCCCGTAAATTCCTGGAACTTGTCAGATCGACCAAATTACCTCCAACTCAAAGGAATCTGAGTCGCATCACCAAATCGCATATTGATTCATCTTAGAAATACATCAACACCTTGAGGTCAGATATAGTCAAATTCGACAGCCTACTAGAAAGGTCTCACTTTGGTGTGTCGGATGAAGTTTATTAACTTCATGCAAGACTTACAACTACAGATCACGAATTCATATGGAAAGAAACTCAGGAAATCCTTAGTAGTGGAGCAACTACGTAGAGAATTTCCACAGTCCCCAGAAGAATGCATACCAAGTCGGAAACTAAGCTCTGTATCTAGGATTTAGGTGTGACCTACCAAACTCGTTTATCGGCAAAATTGACACAGAAACGTAGTTTGAGTATTTATACGATCAACTATCTTATCTGAAACCCATACACGAGTATAAGAACGTTTGGTTTAAGTTTAAAATGGTTGATATCGTGGAGCAGTATCACATATCTCCTCCTCCACAGTAGGAAATGCTCATTAAGGAGCACAAGCTAGAGTTAAGAAACCTGCAGAACAATGATAAGACCGTAATAATGAACCGGTGAGACTACGTCTTCAAAATGACAACGCTTCTCAGTACTACGATGAGATTCCAAGTAGAGGGGAGCAAAAAACAACACAACAACAGCCTTCAAAAACAAAGTAAAAAGGCACCTCAAGGAACTGATCAAAGACGGACTAATCGACAACAGCACCTATAATGACCTCAAAGCAAGTGGTTCACGGTTCACGTATGGTAAACCTAAAGTCTACAAACCTGATGTGCCATTCAGACCTACAATGTCAATGGTGAAATCATGCAATAAACTAGCTAGGTGTTTGGTACAGAAGTTAGAACCAATTCGACAAAAGTTGGCAGTCCACAGTATCAGGGGATCCTTCCAATTCTTACCAGAATTATATCAACTGGGCATTTCAGACAAACTTCTCGTATCACACGATGTTTGTTCGCTGTTTACTAGCATACCCATAAAAGAGACAGTGAGAATCACATGCCAGCAATCTGAAAAGGAGCTACGAAAATTACTACTTCTTTGTACAGAGAACCTCCAGTTCCTTGGATACTGTGGTAGTAAGTAATTCCATATTAGTTTGTTTATTAGATGTATCACACAGTATCACAGTCTCTGCCCAATCGGCTACAAACGAAGCCTGATGAAAACGATCTCCAGAAGCACCAAGGCGTTGTGTTCAGAAAATAAGATCGAAGAGGAACTAGCGGTCATCGAAAACAACCTTATCGAAAAGGAATACCCTAGAAAGTTCATATCAAAGTGTGGGAAGAAAAACCCACCCACAAAATGTGTTACGATCAGAATAAAGTAATTCACATGAAGTTGTACAACAATAACTCAACTGGTTACCTTAAACACTTAGTTTTCAGCCAATAAGTCTCGGGTTTGAATCCCACTTCGCTTACTCCAGCCTGGATAAATGCGCAATGTCATCAGTTTTCATACAATCAATGCGGTACACAGCCTTGTATACAAAAGATTTGCTTTGACTAATTTCCAAGTATACGGGATGAGACTTGGCCGTAATTACGCAGGTAGGGATAAGTAATCACACAAAATACCAACTTAAATATAGGTTTGATGAAAAAGGAGATTGATAATGTGAATCCTTGTTTATCAACATATTCAACAAGAGAATCTTAACACCTTCCAGATATGCAAAGAATTCTACTACCTTTACTACAAAGGAAGGGAAATGATTACGATTTAAAAAACCTTATGTACAATGAACTGTGTGCGAAACACGTTATCCGATTTGTAATGCTGTTACACATAATTATACATCTAATTGAACTGCATTAGCACCTCCACTTTTTTAACAAATCTACTACCTCTATATAAATCAATTATGTAGTAGTTATTTATAAAGGTGGCAACACTGAAAACGTAGAACTTTTCACAAGCATACATCACTTTAAGTTACCAAACTGTGGTGGTGTGATACGGACAATCTGTACCAACGGAATATGATTATTTATTCCCACAGTTTAATACAGCATTAGCAACAGAATACTATGTATATTTGAACATTCTATTTCATGTCGTTTAATGTAAACCAAAATCACACGCTCAATGATTCGTTCACGAATATAAACTGTAGATATATAAACAGCGGTTTGATCAATGAAAAATATACCTTGGCTTCCGTGTCTTGCCTTCTGTTGTTACAAAACTCCAAGGAAGCACACAAAAAAGGGGACGGAGCTTGCTGTTAAGTGACTTAGAAGATAGGTAAGGCTGGAATTATTAGTTATTTAGGCAAACGATAGTCAACTAGAACTCCTGGAACAAATACATTTTACTCTGTAAAGCAGTGAAATCCACAAAACGAAACTGAAACGGTAGTTCTACAAACACGAAGAATAATGTTCCACTCGCTCACACCATACAAGACGACCAAGACAAAAAAAAGCCGACGAAAGTGAATGGACTTTAGCGTTGACGACAAGAAGAGTTAGTGAAAATAACGAAAAGGAAAAAGATGAAGAAGGTTGATTAATATTACTAAAATTCCTGAGTACCTCAGTGTTCAATAGATCACAAAGAATTTCAATAGAATAAAACAGATCTATTCATGTGTGACATTATTCAGTGACTAAGATATCAGACGACTACTCTTACAAACGTTGGATGTGTCGTAGTTATTGGAATGCCTACGAAACGGATACACGTAGAGCGTCAAATTCTCTTGAGTATCTACAACAACATTCTTAGCTTAAACTAATCATTGTCTATTTTCCCTGACACTTTCTGGATCACGAAGCCGAAATAGTTTCTGAATTTTGCTAAGTGTGTTCATTTTTGTCACTTATTTTCTGCTTATCAAACAATTAACTCAACCTTCTGAATTAATAGCAAAAGGTAAGAGACCTGAGTACCACTTTACCCGTATGAAACCTGATGTGAAAGCAGAAACGAGATTTAGGCATATGACGTACAATTGATTTCCATAATAATTCGGATAACAAGGAGTGGGGTGTACTGAGAACCATGGGGAGCCGTTTAACTGACATTTTTTTGCATTGTGAACCTTCAGTACATGAAAGTCAAGTTATTCGAATGAATTAAATTAGACAGTCAGAAAATTAGGCTCAAAAAAGAATCATTTAGACAGTTATTGTGAACTGCATGGCCACGATTTAGATAGCAATGGCCGTCTACTGATGCTATGTGGACAACTAATTTGTAATACGTCATATTTGAATCAGTCAACAATGGTATGGGGGCTAAAATACTGTTTCACCCTTTTAAATATTTATTTGAATTCTGATCAGGGTTTTGTGGGTGGCAGACTTATTGAGTTTTTGTAGTTGTCTAGTTGGAATAAGCAGAGCTTACCATTGCGATTAAAAACCAAACTGTTTTTCAAGGCTAGACATTGATGTCTCCAGAAAGTATAAACGGACATTGGCTGCCCTTAAAAAACGTAGTGAAGGTGACGCGTAAAGCATTTCACAGATTAGAAGAACAAAAACAGGGCTTTGTGAGCTCATTACACCTTTGCTGTTGGTCAGTGAAGAGAGTATAAAGCCTGGCATAAAACTCCTACCTGTACAACCACAGTGCCTAGGAAAATCAGGCAGTTGAAATGGAATCACTAGATGCATCTGTAACACTGAAGAATTATTCAAATTCATTCTAATCACCAACAGCAAGAAGTCAGTTGTCAGTCAGCTGACAGGAGATATGGTGATCAAAGACGCTTGAAATGTTGGACGGAGAAAATTAAAAAAGGTAACATCTACATTACTTCAGACAGTGGAGCGACTCACTAATTGAAAATAATATTACCACTGCGCCATTGCATGTGCGGCTGTCATCCAACAGTCAATGGCATCAACAAAAAGCTACCTTCATAAACTTTTCAAATTGCGTGAAGAACAAGATTTGTATCGTTCAGTGCATACAGTTACCACATATTTACCATTCACTATTTGTTAGAATATTGTCACACTATGAGAAGCTAACATTCATGCTTTTCACATTATCTTCCTTCGGTGCGTGAAATAAGATAGTTTCGCAGAATTACCAATTAGTGTCCTTCAGAAGATTATGAACATCTTGAAAGCCTAATATGATACCATACCTGATTTTGCCAACATTCTGCAGACAAATTTAAAAGCGGTGCTCAGCAGTGACTTACATCTATCATCACTGAGAATGGTCACTCGATATTTAATATTTAAACGATATCATCCTATTGCGCAATAACATACAAGCTGACCGAAACGCATCAGACCAATTCGCAGTCAGCAGCTAGATAAGGAGTTTAGTTTTCCTTTACTAACGCAAAAGTTGACCTCTCTGAGATATCTGACAAATTTGTTTGTTTGATGATAGTGTTTCCAAGTATGAAAACTCGCATTCAGTCGCCTGTGTTTATCTTTTAACAAACATCATTTTGAGACACTAGATTCAGTGGTTAAAATATGTTGTGAAAGTCATCCTGAAGGCTGTTATACTGCTTACTACTTGCTGGACGTTAGTTAGGGATAAGCAACGATAGTTAATCCACGACGTGACGTTGCTAGACGGAGGTATGGTTGTCTTCCTTCCATTTTCAAAGGATATACCGGATGGATCCAACTCATAGGAACGCTTATGTTCTGCCTATCATCTTTATACTGTCCCAATACGCTGTGGCACATTTCCTGACATCTGCCTAACTAAATTTGTTCGAATCAATATATGACAAACTACATAAAATGTAGGATATGTGGTCGCTATTTGACACTGAAACTTAGAAACATGAACTACATGCATGCTACTTTCTCATATACACAAAAAAAACTTACCAGTGTTATTTGCAGCAGCACGTTCTTCACTTGGACTGACGTTACACAAATTTTTGGTCGTATCATTAACATTTGTTTCGTTTGATTGTGACTGTTCTCTTGGCGTTTTAGGATCACTCCCTTCTTTGTTATCAGCCACATCTGGTTCTTCATGATCTTGTTTGTCTCCACCGGGTAACAGTCCCATATCCATTAAGCGACGTTCGTGCTCCTGTGACTCTAATTCTTCTAACTCATCTAATTCTTGTTCTAAGAGAGCTTGTTGCTTCCGTTGTTGTCTTCGTAAACGGCGTTTGCGGCTTTTAGTCATCTTTGTGTTGTCCTGTTTCTCTTTGGGTGCAGTGCTTACTATAGAAAATAAAAGATTAGGAATTGTGATTATGCTGTATTTTTACTGTTAACGGGTGAATGAAAATAATTACATGAGATATTAGGAACTCTACCACCATATAATGCTTAAAGTAGTTCATGAGTCCTGATTAGAGAACATAATGAGTAGTCTTTCAAGAAAATGAATAATATCACTTTTAAAACTGGTTTGTTGAAGATGACTATTGGTGCAAAACAAAAATCAACGTTACTAAGTAAGTCTCTAAAAATTCAAAAGTGCACCTGCAAGATCTGTACCACAATTGGAAACCTGTCTGTCTGAATTAAAAACTATTCTCAATGCGTTACGTTAGCTAGAACTAAGTGAGAGGTGTCTTATAATAGATACAAAAAGATTTCAGTTTTAATAAGTCTTATAATAGTAACAAACCAAGATCCTTTTCAAAATAAAGTGCATACAAAAGCATAAATTACATTTAGTGCAAATGCTATTAATGTATTGCAAATCCCCAAATTATATTAGCCAGAGTTGATACAAATTCATGATTAAACTTCGTAAATACATTGCTTATACTAACTGACCATCTTTAATATGAATGTTGAACGAAGTCAAGACCGTCTATTGATAAGTCTTTACTGTCATCATATTCAACTTCAAATCAATTTTTGCCCATTCAGAGATCGCCTAACAACTTAATGAGTCAATACATATAACAATAACCATAATGATTTGAATGTATATTAGATGAGAGATTAAATGTAATTCACTTCCAGCAAGAAGTCTTACCTGCAGAACCTGACAGCTGTACACCGCGTCTCTGTGCATCCAGAGCTTCTGCCGCCATTCTACGAATTTGAGAGTCGGAAATGCACACCAAAATGTTTTCTGGTTTGATATCCGTGTGAATAATGTGACATTTTGTATGCAAATAATGCAGTCCTTGTAGTGTCTGAAAACAAAACAAATAGGTATTGTTCAACTCTATAAATTCACTACTCTACTTTCGACCTGAAGCAAAACACCTAAATATGCGAATGGAAATTTTAACATCTACATGTTTCAGATTGCTCAGCAGCTATTTTCATTCACACGCATTTGATAATAAATCACACATGTTTGAGGATTGGTGACACCACCTGGTCCACCTAGACTTCATAGGTGGGGTGAGGTTTGAACTCACGACCCACTGGTTGACAGCTGAATGCCTAAACCAATAGAGCTAAAGGATATAAAACAAGTTACGATTAGAGAAGGAAACTTATATTGCGTTTTTAGTGAGTTCATCACAGAGTTTCTACAGCTTCAAACAAACGGAATCAAGGTGGTGGTGAATATGATGAATTTAACTGCATATAGAATAAACACGAACTACACTCTTTGTTATATATATCTTGACGTGGTCAAAATAGAACTTCCCTGATAACCTGGTTACTTCAGTGACCCAGAACAAGTTCGCCTTTAAGCCTATGAACAAACTTAAAATGTGATAGATTATGATGCTATCCAGCGGAACTTGGGGGACGGGAAAAAGTGATGTAACGCTTAGCCTGACAAGTCATTTCCTGAACTGATAGAATCTCTCGACAAAATTTACTACTGACCATTTGTGGATTTACCCAAGACAGTAACAACAGCGTCAATGAGAAATCAAAAAGGAAATAGGGCGAAAGTGAACTTAGTGAAACAGTAAGTCAAAAAAGTCACGAAATAAAGTGCCCACATATATATAAAGCAGTCGCTTGTCATCATCCCTTACTTCGTAATCAAATCACATAAGAGATTATATACGTCAGCTTTATAACCACGCAAAGTACGACTGCAACTAGCAAGCCGCTGGTGTAGCAAGCAGTATCAAATGTGAAAACGTAATTGATTACTTTGAGTTTCCATTAAAGCACCTATGTTAGTGTCAATTAACATTAATGATGATTAAACAACTTAAACACTATGAATTAGCATAAATACTGCTCTCTGTCAGTCTTTGAACAAATTTTGATATTTGATGAATGATAAACTTTTCATGTTCGGCCACAACAGTATTAACTGATAGAAATGCACTACTTAGTTAAACATGCTGACAAGTAAATTGGGTTCAACTTTGGAGAAAAATCTCTGAAAAAGTGCTTGGTAGTAATTAGGAGACCTTATTTAACATTTTAAATTTTAAAATATATTGGAACAGTATACAAGATATCAACTCACCTGTTTGATAATGGAACGGACATTTTCCAGCGGGATACCACGGTACTGAGACCTGATTATTAGCTTCAGCAAATTGTGACCAAGAACCTCAAAGATCATACAGACATCTGCATGGTGGCTAAGGGATTCACAGCAACAGAATTACATATTTTCCAAAACTTCGGTAGTTGAATACATATGACAACAGTGATAAGTTGTGCCTGAATGGTCTACAAATCACTTGCTAATTGATTGTGGTCTTGATGCCTGCTTAAGCAATAAATTCATTCGTCACAAAAAAAACCTAGTCTAAAATGCCACTTAACTACGTACCAAATCCAGCAGTGTGAAAGGTGTTGGAAGCAATAATAATGATACTTGAACCAAACAACGGTGAAAGCAATCCGAAAAGCACCTAAGCAGCTCGGAAATACAAATGTACATTAAATCTGCTAAATTTTCTACTTAAAATCGAGTAAATCAACTGATGCTTGGAATGACAACCTAGTGTAAATTGCCAAAAACTAACGAGTCTGCGCCTAGAAAGCACAACCGTCTAGTATTTAAAAAGGATACGATTTCCATTCACACCGGACACCCTGAAGTCATCTAAAAGTTGAACTGTTTTGTTTCTAAAGGGGTCATCTGGAGAAGATTCACGGACCTAGAGGAGGTGTAATTAATAGTTAACAACTTACGCAAGATAATAATTTTATCTCATCAAGTGCTGTTTCTGTGTAATGGAGTGCACTTTTCACCACTTTCATAGCAACGAAACGCTTTGAACTACAGAGATTAATTGTAAACAATAAAGTTAGACAAACCTCAAATCCCAGCATAGCCATACTGTAGAAAAATGTCCCCAACCAAGTTTTCGCACGACATGATAGCGTCCATTATACACTTGCCCAATTTTCACAGGATGGTATCCACCTGCGTTGTATGAAAGCATTTTGAAGCAAAACAAACCTTTACAATAATCCCGAGGATCTTCTTGCTCATCATCATCGCTACCAAGGATTTCTTCTTCCTCCAGAACCTCTTCATCTCGAGAATACTCTGGGTACCCAGGGTCCTGTTCACTTTTAGGCATTTGATTTGGTGAATGTGGTTGCAGATTATCTTCTACAGTCCCGTTGCTGAATAAAAATCAATACACTCATATTTATCAAAACTACGTTTAACTAGACTTTGCACTACGTTTAATTAAAACAGCATACTTCTTAGTATGAGATATATCAAAATTAATTGGACAATGTTTGCCAAAAGGAAGTCAAAGACGTTACCAAACAGTAAAAACCAAGACACTATATGCATAAAAGTCACGTACCATTTGTTTCCACTGGGTTTTTCTTTCGTAACATTCTTTTTATTTGGTTTGTTTTTCTTTTTACTTTGAATAGCAACAACTACATGAAGAAAATGAAGCAGAAATGCGGCACGTTAAAACCCATAAAGTAATCCAACAAACGCAATTAAACAACTAGAGGGTAATAATTCCTAACATCCCACCTTTTCTCGGAATTTTGCTCATAATAACCAAATAATCCTTGCAACCCCAAGGATTTTGATCCAACCCGAGTACTCCAAAAACTGATTATTAAAACAAGAGTATGACACATCAATTGACATCCTAATGTTTGACTTTTTAAACTTATTTATTGTTGTAAAATCCATATTCCAGTAGTGAATGGAGTTCCAAAATTTCTTTGAAACACTATTGACCAGTAACTTTCAAGAAGACGGAATATTTTTCTCACGTGAATTGCGTATACTCTGTCTAATTAATCTCTGTGTACCAAATTGATCTAAGGGCAAATTAGCGATTCCCACAGCTGCAAAAAGTATCTAGGAATAAGTGTGGCCTAGTCTAATCATTTGGTAGTCATCTACACAGAGCTTTGGTTGTATAGCAGAATCCAGAGATTCACTCCTTTACTAAGGATTTCACCTTGCTAATACGTTATCGGAAGGCTAACTAGTGTTCCTACACCGTTTTTATGTTATCCAGTATCGAAAATCCCTTTTGTGAGCTGGTATAAACCGAACTGATTTCCATGCCATCGATCCTTGTTATTAAGGTAATGGCTTATGACTTTCAGTGGACTCCTGCGTGGTTCGGCCCGCCAACGGCTTGCTTAGCACTGGTAGAGCCAAGACAGTATTTCTAAGGAGGGCTGGCTATGTCTGACTTGTAGTATGTGTTTTATTATGGTGTGATCGTAGTCACTTCTTTCACCCGTTAGTCTTCGAGTGTCGTCGAATGGTGACATAACGATAGTATTGTGGGGTCTCTACAACTCAGTATGCTATAGACACTAGAAGTAGTTGGTGATTAGGTGATTGGGAAAGGTGAGACGCGCAACTAAGTCAGAACCGTATCTCCTTTATGGTTTGTAAGGTTTTCCAACTTATTGAATAATGAATGCTCTCCCGTGTGTTTGACTACATTTCCTGCTTCACTTGCACACCACCATGCATTTAAAAATAAATTTTCAAAACCCGAGTTAGTCTTTTGCAACAATGCAGGCTGTCGGTCAGTAGTTTACGCCATTATTTGGCTAGGAAAGTTGGTTCCTAAAATGTGATTTTATTATTATTTATTATTGTTCCCTTGGGTTCCTAGTGGAACATAGGGCTTCAACTGCACGTCTCCACTTGCTTCTGTCTTCTGCTGTACTTTTCACTTGCATCCATGTTATTCCATACTGTTTCAATTCCTCTTCACACGATCTCCTCCATGTCACCCTTGGACGTCCCACTCGCCGCCTCCCTTTCGGGTTCCACTCGAGCTATGGCCTGACGCGCGATGTCACCCAGTGGCCTCCTCAGCGAGTGTCCAATCCATCTCCACTTTCTCCTGCATATTTGTTGGGCGATTGGTTCTTGTTTTGTTTGTTCCCATAGTTTCTTGTTGGTGATTCTTTCCGGCCATCTAATCTTCAGTATAGAGCGAAGACAGTTGTTGATAAAGGTCTGCAACAGGCTGTTGGAAATATTCTTGGTGACCCGCCAAGTTTCTGATCCGTATAGAAGAACTGACTTGACGTTTGTATTGAAAATCCGAATTTTGTTGTTGATGCTGAGTGACGAAGATTTCCAGATTGGTTTCAGGTTGATGAATGTGTTTCTCGCCTTCCCGATTCTCGATTTGACATCCTCGTCCGTTCCTCCTGTGGTTGAGACAATGCTCCCTAGATAAGTGAATGAAGTAACCTCTTTCATCAAATCCCTCCCGTTGATGGTGATTGGCGCTGGATGTTGCTGCTGCTGTTGTTGTTGTTGGTTGGTTATTTTCATGACCTCCGTCTTGTCTATGTTCACCTGGAGTCCTGTCTTTGCTGCTTCTTCGACCAGTTTGTCGGTTTTTGCTTGTAAGTCTTCGATTTTGTGTGACATCAAACATAAATCATCCACGCGCGAAATCCAGGTCTTCTAGGTTCTTCACGTCGGTCCAGGATATCCCTGTCTTCTCGTTTCCCACTGTCTGACGCATAATCCAGTCCACCACAATTAGGAATATCATTGGTGATAATAAGCACCCTTGTCTGACTCCTGTGTTCACTTTAAACGCCTCGCTGAGTTTTCCGTTGTGGATCACTTGGCATGTGCCGTTGTCGTACAGCTGTTGAATAAGGTTGATGAATATTTGGGGTACGCTGTAGTACTCGAGTAGTTTCCAAATTACTTCGCGGTCAACGCTGTCGAAGGCCTTCTCAAAGTCTATGAAGTTGAGGTAGAGATTTGATTGCCATTCCATGCTTTGTTCGATGATAATGCGTAGAGTTGCGATTTGGTCAGAACATGATTTGCCTTTCCTGAATCCAGCTTGTTCTGGTCGGAGTTCTGTATCCAGTGCGTCCTTGATTCTCTCCAGGATGATGCGACTCAGGATTTTACTTGGCGTCGACAGGAGCATGATTCCTCGCCAGTTCTTGCAGAGTCCTAAGTCGCCCTTCTTTGGTAGTTTCACGAGGTAGCCTTTCCTCCAGTCAGTAGGCACCTTTCCCTCTTTCCAGATCTTTTGCAATAATGGAGTCAGCATATCTGCTGTCGTTTCTGGGTCCGCTTTCAGTGCTTCAGGGGGTATTCCATCTGGTCCAGCTGCTTTTCCAGCTTTCGGAAGCTTGATTGCATTCAAGACTTCAGTTTTCGTTGGAGGATTGGTGTCAACTTGCAGTTGTGTACGTGCTGTTGTTGGTATTTCTGGACGAGTTGCAGGTGGTGGTCTGTTCAAGAGTCCTTTGAAGTGGTCCGCCCATTGTTTAATCTGTCTTTCTTCTTTGGTAATTGGGTTCCCTTGGCTGTCTTTTATAGGTTTCACTTGTGTTGATCTCTTCCCGGATAGAGACTTGGTTATCTGATATAGTGTCCTCAGGTCCCTTTTGCCTGCTGCATTCTCAGCTTCAGTAGCCAGGTTGTCGTAGAATTGTCTTTTGTCCTTACTGGCACTCTTCTTCACTTCTTTGTCCAGTGCTGTGTAAGTTGAGCTCAGCGTCTCTTTTTCTCGTCCGTCTTTGCATTGAATCATTTTCTCTTTCACCCTTCTCCTCTCCTCTATTAGCTTCCAAGTGTCCGTTGAGAGCCATTCCTTGTCTTGTTTCTTCTTTCTTCCTAAAACCGTTGAACACGTTTCGTTGAAAATTACCTTCAGAGAGTTCCAATGGTCTTCCACGGATGAAGCCTCAGTGGTGTCACGTAGTGTTTCCTGCTTTGCTCTGACCGTTGCACTGAAAATGTCCTGTGTGATTGTGTCCTTCAGTTTTCGCGTGTTGAACTTGCATTGTGGCCTATCCCCAGGTATCCTCAAGGCTTTCAGCTTCACCTTGAAAGTCCCTTGTACTAGATAGTGGTCTGAACCCACATCTGCTCCTCTCCTCGATCTTGTGTCCAGTAGGCTCCGTCTCCACTTCCTTGAGATTGAAATGAAGTCTATCTGGTTTCTGATGTGTCCATCTGGTGAAATCCATGTTGCCTTGTGTATATCCCTGTGTTTGGACACACTGCCACCAATCACCAAATCATTGAAGGCGCAGAAGTCTGAGAAGAGTTCACCATTTTCGTTCATTTCACCGAGGGCCTCACGACCCATGGTGAGTTCTCTTCCTGTATTGTCTCCTCCCAGTTTCGCATTCATATCACCCATCAGGATTTTGATATCGCTCTTTGGGACGTTGTCCATTATTGTTTGTAGTTGACTGCAGAAATCCTCCTTCTTCTCTTGTTCCGAGACGTTTGTAGGCACATAGCATTGAATGATTGTAACCTCCTTTCCTTTTGAGTTGAACCTGGCTGTCATTATCCTGGAGGAGATTGGTTCCCACCGCATGAGAGCTTTAGCCGCTGTTGGTGACATCATGATGGCTACTCCCTCGGTGTGCTCGTGATCGTCCTCTGGGTGACCGGAGTAGATTATTGTCTCTCCAGTCGGTAGTTGGCTCCTTCTACATCCGTTCCATCTGCTCTCGCAGATTCCCAACACTTCTATTTTATATCTCCTCATTTCTGCGGCTACCTGAGCAGCCTTTCCAGTTTCGTACATTGTACGAATACTCCACGTCCCGATCCTTATTTTTGCTTTCATTGAAAGAAGGCACATCGGCTGACTGGCTTCCCGGAGGCTTTCACCAGCCTGCGTAATTTACTTCCCCGATTCCAGCGATAAATGAGGTCATTGTTTATATTTTTAGAATTTAAAATATATTTGTGCGTTGAAGTTTTCGTAGCAATTTGGTTAAGTTTTGGGGGTGGAGTTGCTAGCACCACGCCCCAACCCTCCCTCTTTATCCGGGCTTGGAACCGGCTAGAATACTAGTGACCTAGTGATCTAGGCGAGGTTAAATGTGATTTTGGCAAACATGAAAACTCAAGGACAAATGAATAAGCAAACAGATAGGTAACTGAAGTGAAGTTATTTAAGGTGATAAATAGAAAGTGGAAGCATATGAGTAAGACAGGGGAGACCGTGGAGGTATCACAGACGAATTTACTTAAAAATCCACTGATAGAATGAGGTGTGTCAGAATTTCCTCTGTGTTCGATAGATTGGACATACTGTTGGAGATAGTCCGTGTGTTGCTGCACAGCTGGTCAGCCTCCGCTCAAAACTAGCTACCAGATGTGCAGAAGCCTGAGATGCTGGTAAGTAGCACCACGTGCGGCAAGCAGTGAAAAGAAGTTTTAGTGTAGTCAATCCCTTATTTTCTGGCACGTGTTTCACGGAGGTTTGCTACGAATGGGTCCGCTATTATCTGATTTCAGTGTCCTCTTTTGGCAATTTCAGTTGTTTGTAGTCTTATAAGCAATGACTGGGTCAGTCACAAGCCGGCACCCCTAATTTCTGCAACCTCCCATTCTACGGTTTGTTCCAAAATATTTACAGAGCCTTAAGAAGTATTGGTTTGAGTTTACCTATCCATACATTAAGTGTACAAGCACATATATCCAGGCCATGTCACTGGAACAGTTCTCATATATGCCCGAATTTCTCTTTAAGATGAGACTTAAGTCTCATTCTGATGCTGCACAGCAACTATTGCTACATAGGGGGTGAACTACACTTTGGGGTTAAGGAACGTTTAGATGAACCATTTT